TCAAGAAATTCTAAGCAAGTTTTATGCTTTTAAAATCAGATCTCGTACATGTAACGAATTCTATCAACAATCGTGTGAATTACTCACCTTAAACAACAAAACATGTTTCAAAGACTAGAAAAATAATTAAATATTTTAAAGAAAATAAATTAAATTGTTGTGTTTGTTTTTTACCGTTTAAAAATAATTTTCCCCTAACTTTTACTACCGAGGGGATGAAAATTACTTATTTTCGAAAAGAACAAATCGGTAGAAAATTGCATTTGTTTCAGACTATACTCAAAAAGAAAATTTATAACTTTTAGAGTGCTATTACGCGAGAATCATCCCTTAACGCGACAGCTTAGGTTCTTTCTGGAGTCAAAAACACAAAAGGAAAGTTAATGAGCATTATTCCTTCGGCGGATCAGGCGATACCATGAATACGGACAAATATTGTCATGAAATCCATATTATCCATGCAAAATTATGCATCCAGTAGCCTGCGTTAGTCAATCGATGTAGTTTAATATTGCACCATTATAATGCACCGCTGCATCATGCAAATTTGTCGGTTTAAAGAATAAACTACCTTCGGTACGAAACTTTTTCGTCTTATTCGCTGGACCGGTCATCGATCATCGCTTTTCCCGAACGCTTCTTCGAAGAAAATATATAATATTAAAATAGAATTAAAATATAATATTCTAATTCACTGCAATTCTTAGTCCTTCACAAAGTCACCAGGAATTTTGCTCATGTGCCTTAGAAAATGCAAATTAAAATACAGATACAGTTTTCCAAATTTCTAATTTCACTATAAATTTTATAACGTTCGTATGAAATTAAATAAATAAAATAAAATCGTATGAGAAAGCAAATTTTGGAGACATCGCATTTAAAAAATATTAAAAAATAATTGTTGATAGAATTCTACCACTGATTTCGACGATTATCTTAAAACATTTGGTAAAATCCATGATTTACAGTAGGAATTACGCTTCCATTTCCATTTCACAATTTACATCGTGTTAGTTCTTTTTTATTCCGCGTTCGTGAAACAGATTATCTTTTGTAACTTTCGTTCTATATAAATTTCATCGGGAAGCATGGTTTTCGATGTTAAATATGGGCCAGGACAAAGGAAGGAGCCTGTTGCGATAAAATGGCGCGGTCGTATACGTTTCGCGAACATTTAAAATCACTTTCGCGGCGGGCGAAAAAAAGTGCTATTTAAGAGCGTCACTTTAATCGTAAACCATCGCCGGATTCAGCTGGGATTTAATCCAGGAAAAGAACGCCGCTGAATCGCCCCTTATTACGAGCCACGAGCGCGGCTTTTTTCATGCTTAAAAAAATCCTGGCGTTTGCAAGCTAGGCGTTACCCGCAGGAATTACGGGGGGGAGTGAAAATGGAATCAGTCATATTAACTCGGGGGAGCTTAACTAAAGTTTAACGCCGCAAAGAGGGGGGGGGGACGGGATCTTTGTTTCGTGGCTTCGCGCTGGATTATATCTATTCGAGACGCTTTATATCCCCAGACGGTTAGGTCTGGGATAGCTCTCGGCGAGCCTGGGCCAACGAAGAAAGCCCCGGGCTCGAAGTCAACTCTTCCCCGCCGAGGGTAAGTAGAAAACCGGCGCGCGTTATAAAGCGAGAGACGGAAGAACAGAAAGGAATCTACGGTTAATAGCCGTGTTTCTCGTAGAAATTTTCCGCTCCGTGCACCGCTCTGCGATTAAGAACGTCTCTTGCGTGCCGGCGAAAGGGACGCATAGACTCGACTGAAATTATGGAACCGGAAACGCCAGGAATTTTCACCAGCTTCTCCAATTACTCGGCTGAATCTTTTTCTTCGGGGGAAAATGAATCGATTTCTCCTGCAGAATCAACTTAAAAATGTAGGAGTTTCGTTTTCGAGGTGTTGTAAAATTTTATAATTATTGTTAACGCGAACTGGTGAAATTAGAAAATCTCCAGATCGATGGCAGACAGATAATTTACAAACGTTTGCATGAGTACGGTAATGATTCTTAAAATGAGCCGCAGACACGAAATTTATTAGCATAAGAAACGTATGATTAATAAGAGTGGGTTTATGCATGGGTGAAAGTATTGGAGCGTTTTAAATAACCTTGAATTATAATTTCATGTTTTGTAGCGTGTAGGTTTCGCGGACTTTTTGATATCTGGTTTTTAAATAATTATTTTAATTCGGATTGATTAGAAATGATTTGAGGTAGGTCATTATAGTGGGCATTAAAAAATGACAAAAACCATTTTAAAGGGGAGATCTTGTCACTTCTAATAGTGGTTCAATTGTTGACAAAATTGCAAGTTTGTGAAGTTTAACTATTTTTATGCTCTTCTTTTAAACTTCGTCCGGATTTTTACAGAAAAATATAAATCATTCAATATTCATTTTATGGAATCATTAACCAACCACCAAAGGACGAACAGGAATATTTCCACGATGACTCGTAAAACATTACCGAATAGAAATGGCACGTGATTCGAAGATGACAAATATGGCGGACGGAGGTTTCCAATCGTAGATTATTCGAATAAAATTTGGTCCATCCCCGAAGACGTATCGTCAAGCCATAAAACATTCTTAGTTTTCTGATGTCAAAGCGGGTCTGGTGGTCTCGGGGGTGTTGTGCAGCCACTTTTCTACCTTTCCTCGACTCGCCGCGAAAATTTGCGTAGTCCTTCCCCATCGGCGACGAAAGGGGGCGGTGTAGGTGTCGGGACACGGAACAGGAGCGACGATGAGAAAGGGGGAATGCCGCTAGACTTAAGGGCTCTACTCGGGTCGAATTCCAAGCGTGCTCGCGCTACCTGCCCGGAATATCGTCTCGTTATATTTCCGCCGTAGCCACCCTCCCCGTTTCACCGTCCCTTCCGCGCCCTCTTCTATCTTCTGTCCGCTTGACGCTCGAGCGATATTTTATTTGCAAAGAGCCTGCAGGTTGCCGTTGCTTCTTATCTTATGTGCACAGGAATTTCCCCTCGGTGGCGCGGAGATTTCATGCTGTGGATGAACGAAGACACCGGGCGAAATAACCCCCCTTTCCTCTATTTTTACATTTGATTCGCGTCGCCTGCCTATATTTCGTCCGCGTTTTTATTTCACCCGACTGTCTTTTCGTCATTTTTCTTACCCCCCCTTTCTCTCGCGCGTTGCATCCCTGAACGTTCCTCTAACAAGGGAAAAATAGAACTTTGAACAACTTTCACGGAATCTCGAATGGAAATTATTATTTACGACGCGCCGTAATTTTCCTCTTCTTACTCTCGCTCCACCTGATGCTACTTTATTATTTACACGATTTTTTTTTTGTTAACTTGGTCTTAAATTCAATTTGTCCAATAAATATCATTCGTACGAGTCGCGATAGCATCAAATGATATTTCAAAAGTAAGAAGAAGACGATTCCTTTTTCCCCCACTTGCTTGCACTACAAAATATGCAGCTGACGCGAGCAACAAATCTTATTCAGACTTTTTCTTCTACTTTTTACTCTACTGAAGTCTGTACACGCGCAGAAACAACAGCTAGCTGGTCGTGAATACCAAACGAACAAGTTCTACAACCGTAGAACTCAGAAATGTCAGAAAAATTAAAAAATTCTGTAGAATTTGGCTTCTGTGAACATTTTAATAGTATCGAAACAACGATATACTATAACGAAGTGATCGTAATGTGCAAATAATTGGAAACAAATCTTTTTTAATGTATAAAAACTTACGTTGTAAATTGAAAGAGCTTTTTTTCACTTTTGTTTTATTTAACCCTATGTTTATGTCGTTGTTTCGTTGCATCCGTGGTTCTAGCGAACAAGTGACCGGGAAAAATCTTTTTCGAATCATAACCGGAGACATTCCGGCTGCGAAATTAATTGCTGCTTCTTACTCGGGCAATTTGATAAGATTAATAGGCGCGGATATGTATCGAACATCGGAAAGGTGGCTGGTCCTTCGAGCGTGGTCAATTCGACTTGTTTCTGGGCGCCATTCATAAATAATTCATCGTATCGTCGGCATGGGAGATTGGAAAAAAAGCGAAAGAAAAACGAGAGCAGTGCGGAAGCGAGACGAAGACGGGCGACAGGGCCGGGAAAAAGACGCGATGAACGCACACGCGATACAAGAAGAAAGGGAGACGAAAACGCAACAAGAAAAAGAAGCAAACAGAACATTGTAGACGAGGAAAGACAGAAACCGAATTGAAATTCTCGTCTCCCGATGGAAGACTAAAAAAATTAGTTAAAAAGTGGCCTGACGGAGTCTGACGAACCATTCCAACCGTTCTGTTAATCTAAAACAAAAAAAATCAAATAGCATCTTGATTATTAGAAATAACATCGTACATATGTATCTGGATAATTAAGAAAATCACATTAGTGTTTCGAGTATCGATTTTCTTGAGTTCTTGATCGAGAAAATATGAAATCTTTGGCTTCGTCTGATAAATAGCAGTATGCTTGAAGAAAATGAAAACAAATGGTTGTTTTCAAACTTCTATCCCCTGTGATAATAGATTATGTTTTAGTGAGTAGTGGAAAACAGGGAAACGTGGTCGTTTCTCAATGTGATGTACAACGCCGATACTTTTTGGAAGATTTTCTCGAATGGGTGACGCCGCGAAGCATAAAATGCAGAATAAAAATAGCATGAGAGTATGTCGTCGAATGTTAGAGAGGAATAATAAAATGCGGAACCTTCTATTCGTTTCCCTATCCTTTCATCTACTTTTCTATCCCGCCTCAGACATCTTTTTCATTCTATTTTCACCCTTCGGCGTCGCTGATGCGTAACGTTACTTTGGAACATTTCCTGGGAAATTTATTTCGTTCCCAATTTCTGTTCTCGTTTAAGAAAATACGAGACGTTTATTCCGCGAAGGGCCGATCGCCTGATTTTCGACTGCTTTCGACTTAAACGCATCGTTTATAGGGGATTTTCGTTCGCAATTGTCGTCAGGGATGTTAATAGCTAGCTTTAGGTGTAATCGTACCTGCGAAAAAGCGGGGGCTCGTGCACGAGCAGGTGAAAATCGTTTTCCGAGCAAACCTCACGGTCACGATGGTGAACCGCGCATTTGAAACTCCTCGTTCGTTTGCCACTCATCTGAAACAAAAAACATCTTTATTCTATCGATCAAGTATTACGTATGCAATTCTGAATCTAGTATCCTCGTTTCGAACAGTAATTACTGAACAAACTACTGTTTATTTACGTGCTGATTTTCCTTCTTCTATCTTGGAACGATATAGTCGATCGATAGAAGTTGAAAGAAGCATTTTTCGAACCAAGAAAACGTTCCCCATTCTGGCAATTTGCGTTCACCGGATTTACGTGTGCAAAGATATCCGTAAAAAGCGTCGGTAAATGTTTGTTGGCGATAATCGGTATAAAGGTGAACGCACCGACACCGTAGCGAACATAATAGAGAGCGTTCCCGTGCTCGATGGATGGCAATGTAGCCGGGCTCTTACGCCACTGTACATACACCCTCTTCCGTCTACATTGACACAAACTGCACGCATAAGACGGTACTCGTGCTCGAGGATGTTTGTCTGCGTCCTCGTAGCAGCACAGACTCCGGCTCTATGTACAGGACTTAGCTCGAGGACTTTGCCAGGCGTCCTTGCTTGCATTTGCCTAACCGCGTTAACGGATCCTGATCCAAATATCAGCCACTGTGCCCCGAAGACCGCTCAACCGAGCTTCCTCGACCGGATCGTGCCAAGAACTCGTTGACTTTCGCTCGAAAGAGTATCGGTCCTTCCACTCCGCGGACCCATTCGAACATATTTCACGTATAACCCAAACCAGTCCACGGATCGATACCATTCACTAAAATTACTCAATTTTTAATACATTGTCGATACTGTGTTCTACAATGACGAATAGAGAACGGTTCAAAGGGGCAAGTTTTAACCCTATTTCCACCAGAGACGTTCAAATTTTAACTTGAAATCATTTTTCCTCCCTTTGCACTCCTATGTGTGACTCGATATTTTTTCAAATTTAAACCAAAGAGATATACACTTGAAAATTACAAAATACAACAATAGTGTAAATAAAACAGATATTTGTGTAAATTATCCTATTTTTTAGTTAACCTAAATTTCAAGTAAAACACTTGAGAGCGTTGGAAATTCAAATATAATTCGGAGTGCAAAGGGTTAACCCTTTTATTCATTTCAAAACTGATATTTAAAATATCAGGTTCCCCTAAAATTAATGCGTTTAACATTAAATTTACGTACTGTATAGCTGCTAAATACTCGAAGGGGACTATACATACGTATAACCTTATCTGGTTTCTCTGGTCCCTTTATGACAACGATTCTAATATCTACCCTCTTAAGAAACGACCCCCCCTACGTATTATACTTAAAAACTGGGCTAAAACTGTGACGGGGACATTACAATGGGATATCAGTTTTCATGGAAACACCCCACATGGCCACGAGAGCAACGAACTTGCACAGACGCGTGCACTTCCGGTTACTCGAAAAAATCTGCGTACAATCTATGTCCAATAAATAATAATTGCACAGTAACGAGACACTGTCTATAGCATACAAACCGTACGTTCTATTTACTTAATTAATTAATTAACATAAATATATCGAGCAAATAATACTCGATGATTATGTTTGCCTTCACTATCTCCGTGTTGAGCACAGTTCTCCGGAGAATTGAGCTTTTATTCTCGAGCAAGTAGTTGATAGATTTTAATTTATAAACGTACAAGTTGGTTTATCGACTCTGGATATTAATAATTAATATCGTTGCTCTCCACTTCCGCTCGTGGGTTGATACGTGTCATCGAAATCCCAGAGAATTATCCAGGGCTACGACAATGGGCCCGTGGTATCGCGGAACAAAGTTCGATAGAGCAAGTTCTGCCCACGAAGAACCAGCTGCCGGAAGCCGCAGCGTTTCTTAAACGTTTCATTGCCAAAAGGAGGCGGAAGACTAGCAGGAAGGGCGCGCCACGATGAATCCAGGGAAGAACTTCCGTCTAACCGACGAACAAAATTAAATTTGCTGCCGTCGCGACGTCCTGCTCACTCGTCACGCCTCGTCGCGATTTTCTCCAAAACGGTAAAACGTTTACTAGGAATTATTGTTTCAACCCTCCAAAATGGTCAAACTTGAAATATGAATCGTAAAACAAATGTTTTCCTTGGAAGAAAGTTGTAAGAATATATTTAATAGATCAAATGGTTTATTTGATAAAAGAAAAATTGATGAAAATTTTGTTTGTTTTACTATTCTACATTTACATATCAAGTTTGAGCATTTAACCCGTGAACATCCTGTATATAAAATTTTTGAAACCAAAAACTTGGAAAGATTGTCAGTGAATGTAAGTAAAAATATTTCTGAGTTTTGGTTTTTGAGATCCATGGAATTTGAGGCGTTCTGTGAACCTAGTGTTAAAATTCGCGTCAACCTTTAGTTGTTTAGTGTTAGTCAAGGTATAATGAGGCCCCGGTCGTGAAGGAGTTAATGAGAAAGCGTGCTTGTTGGCGTTTAACGTGTTAAATATTCCTTGGTCGCGTCGTACTTGCGAAGGTTTTACTGGCAATGAAGCAGAAGAGATTCGTTGCCGACCAGTGTCCGGCTAAGTAAGTAAATCTTCGACGTGAATTTACGATCGTAGCCAGAGTCGCTTCGTGTGTCCCGTCGTCGTGGCCTGGATCGATAGTATCGCAGACCGGGCTCAAGGGCTCGTTCTATTAATCTCGATCGTTTGTTCGGAGTTTATCGTCCTGCCGCAACCTATCCAGGATATTTAGAAGAGACCGGCGTCGGGTTACGTCCCCTCGAAACACCATAGATTCTTTTTGTCGGCGACTCGTGGATCCCACCGTGAAATTTAATCTATCGTTCGTGGCTTATCGCGGAAACGGACAACACGAGTAGCGTACAAGATAGAGGCTGCGGGACGAAATTAGAAGCGCATAATGATGGGACCGAACGACGTATCCATTTATATTGATACTCGTTAACTCCCAACCCTCGTGACCCTAACACGTAGCCACGTAGTCGCATAGTGGTCCCTTTAGAGGCCAAAATCCAATTTTCAGTCTTCTCAAAGTTGTGTTTTAAAGTTTATTCGCAAGATATCTTTCTCTTTTATGTCACATATTTTTTCCAAATACTTGGTACATTAACTTCATACAGAAAATGTACAAACTATGTAGAAATTTTTTAATTTTTAAAGATGAAACAAAAGTTTCAAGTCGATACGGTAGTTAATTCCATAGAAAACAATTACGCAAACATTTTGTATGCAATATATATATTCATTTTGAATTAAATAAACAATTTATAATCTCGTTTTATCGCGTACCAGATGTTGCTAACATTTTTACAAAGTTAATGTCAAAATAAACATAGAAGATAGGATAAATTATAATAATTTTTATAGTCATCAGATAGGGGATGAAATGCCCTTTAAAACTAGCGTTTGTGCGAGTCGATAGCTTTATTAGTTCCGGAGATATAGCAATTTTAGTTTCAAGTCGATCGCGTCAAAGTAAATTGCAAAATAAACATGGAAGAAAAAATAAATTATAATAGTTTTTATAGTCATCAGATAGAGGATGAAATGCCCTTTAAAATGAGTGGTCGAACGAGTCGATAGCTTTATTAGTTCCGGAGATATAGTGATTTTAATTTCAAGTCGATGCGGTGGCTAGTTTCGAAGATACGAGGGTCCGAAGCCTTTGTTTACGTTCATTGTTATGAATGAACTCGCGCGCGTAAAATAGTAAACAGTGCGTAGTAAATTCTTGGAAATACTACGCGGAAGTAGGTCACGAGAGTCACGACTCACGTGCGACAAGGAGGTCCAGCGCGACGCGTCAGACGGAGACAGAGATAGTCAAATTAAGAAAAATTACCCCTTTACATAAATTACGATATCTCGAAAACGGGAAGTCCGATCGTCAAAAACCAAAAACCACTTTAAAGGGGAAGCTTTCCCGCTTCTAACAGTACCTCAATAATTAACAAAACCCCATTAGTTTCGGAGCTGCACGGGTCCAAAGTTTAACTATTTTTAATACGCGTTAATAGCCTTTTCTAATGCGGAGACTGAGAAATTGAAAAATCACCCCTTCATTTAAATTACGATATCTCGAAAACGGTAAGTCCGATCGTCAAAAACCAAAAACCACTTTAAAGGGGAAGCTTCCCCGCTTCTAACGATACCTCAATAATTAATAAAAAATTACTAATTTCGGAACTGTACGCGTGTAAAGTTTAACTATTTTTAATACACCTTTTTCGACTGTTCCAAGACCGACGAAACTGAAGATTCTCTCCTTGTTAATTTTATCCGGTTTAATTAATTTTAGTTTCACTGTTATTCAAATTTCACGCTCGACGACAGATTGCGGGGAATTGAATTCGTTCGGTGTTTCCTTCGCCGAGTTGATCTAGCTGAAAAGGGTAGTTGGAGCAGTGTCCGGCGTCCGAGTAGTGTATCTGGAGATTAGCGAAGGTAAATGGGACCGTGGATGCGGTTTCTATCAGACGATAACAGAAATCAACGAGAACGGCAGGTCCTGAAGCCTTTCGCCAGTTGGTGGCACGAGGTATAGGCGAACGAGCGCAGAGTGTGCGGCCATTATCGCGCGAACGCTGCAAATCCAAACCGACGAGTCAGGCCGTCGTAAACACGAGTACAAGCGGCCAGTTTAATTCGATTAGAGCACGATCATCGGATTGCTCGATCACCCGGCAGTGAAATCCCCTCGCTACGCCTCTGCCCACACCCTACCCCTGACTTCGCGCTCTTGCGCGCTTTGCAATCTAATCGTGGTCCTATGAATGCTGTCTGTCGATCGGTCAACGAAGTGGCACGCCTTGATGAACGCACTCGTGTTGGAAATTAGAGACGAATCAAATCCGGGAAAATGCAAAGAGAATGCGAAACGCGACGGGAACGAGCATACCGTATGCATTTGGAACGCGATTACTGTTCTTGACATTCTTAACCCGCCATGCTCGCGTCTCTTGTCCTCCTTTTATTCATTTCTATTTCACAAAGACGTTCGTCATCTATGATACTCGAGCAAATTATAACTTTCCTAGTCCATTTC